GTCAAGAAAGGGAGGTTCAGGAAGACACTGTGATGGTTTCTTCCCCAGCTTTCTCTCCCCTCGGCCAGGAAAGCTCAGCTTCTAGAGCCTTCTAGCTGATTCCCGAAAGCTGTCGTGGTCTTCCGCCCAGGTGGAATCTCTGAAATCAGCCCTCATCTGTCCCCAGCCCCATGTCGTCCCTGAGGTTGGGGCCTAGCTGACCTAGGCTACTTGGAAGGCTGAGGCAGGAAGGTCACATGGTGCCTGAGCTAGAGTGTATTCAGGGTCAGTGTGGGCAACCTGGCCAAACCCTGTATTGAGAAAAAATTTCAAGGCACCTGTGGTGAGGTACTCCTATAGTCCCCAAACTTGGGAACAGAGGTGGGAGGACCAGAAGCATAAGGGTCATTCTCAACCACAGCGAGCTGAAACCAGCCTGGGCTACATGAGGTGCTGTCACAGTTACAGGAAAAGGTTGGTGAGGCTCAGCAGTAAGGTATGTCTGAGACCTTGTATTCGATCGCACCTCAACATGCCACAATCAAGGGGCTAGCTCAGTGCAGGGGGCCTGGGTGAAAGGGGCTAGCTCAGTGCAGGAGCCTGGGTGAAAGCACCTACATCTCAATCAAGGTGTTAGCCAGGCATGGCCTTACGATCTGTGACCCTAGCACTGGGAGGCTGAAGCTGAAGAATTACAAACTCGAGGCCAGCTGTGGCTACATACTGAGACATTCTGTCTCAAAGGCTACCCCCCTGGACGTGATAGTACACACCTTTAATCCAGAACTCCAGAGACAGAGGCAGGTAGATCTCTGTGAATTCGGGGCCAGCCTGGTCTACAGAGTGAGCTCCAGGACAGCCGGGGCTACACAAAGAAACCCTGTTTTGAAAAAAACAAAACAAAACCAAAATAGACTACAGGACAGGTGGCATATGCTGATCGTTGTACTGGAGGAACAGCTCTGAGATGGGATGAACATGATAAACCGTGTTGGCTGCAAGGTCCTTGTGACTTATTAGTACATGCTGTCCTTTCACAGGGATGTGGTGGACTTATTAGTACATGCTGTCCTTTCACACGGATATGGTGGAGAGACTTTTAAGTTTGGTCATGCAGTCCAAACAAATTTATCAAGTTAACAGATGCCCTTTACCTGCTCAAACACAGAACAAAAACCATCTTTAGCTGACTTGTGATGTTACCGTTAAAAGTTTGTGTGTTTCTGAATTGGGCAGTGGTACTGTACACCTTTAATCCCAGCACTTGGGAGGCAGAGGCAGGCAGATCTCAATGAGTTCAAGGTCACCCTGGTCTAGTTCCAGGACACCTAGACAGCTAGAGCTGTTATACAGAGAAACCCTGTCTCAAAAAAACAAAAACAAACAAACAAATAAATGAAGTTTGTGTGCTTCCAGAACAAAAGGACCAGACACCAATAAAGACAAGTAGCCCAGGTGACCCAGCCTCTCAGAATGCCTCTGTTGCAGTTTCCTCAAAACTTTACATCCAGAACAGCTTCAGAGCTGCTTGCTGAGAAGGTCCAGCCTCACAGAATATTCAGCCAAACTTCAGATAAGCCTGCACCTTCCCATCCATCACTCCAAGACTGACAACAGCTAGCTCTCCCAGGACTTGACCATTATCCCAATTTCCTCAGGGTCCCCTAAAGATGCCGTCACCCCAGACAGAAGTCTGTCAGATAGTCTGGGCCTGTAGGCCGAAGATGAATACCCCAATGTTCCAGAGGAACTTTCAGTGACTGTCTAGGCAGCCAGATGTCTCTGTCATTTCTATAGTTTTGAAAATTGCTTGCTCTGCATTTCCTGCTTAATTGGGTAATAGGTATATCCTTCTCAGGTCTCTAATGGATACTGAAGACTAGATTAGAAATGGAGAAAACTTACATAAGAGGTATAAAGTGTTTAAGGTTGAGAGACATAATAGTTTAAACTGTTTATCTAAAAATGTTTTGAGATCTAAAAACATAGTTTTAGGATGGAAAGTTTGGATAGAAAATGTTTAGGGCCGGGCGGTGGTGGCGCACGACTTTAATCCCAGCACTCGGGAGGCAGAGGCAGGCGGATCGCTGTGAGTTCGAGACCAGCCTGGTCTACAAGAGCTAGTTCCAGGACAGGCTCCAAAGCCACAGAGAAACCCTGTCTCGAAAAACAAAAAAAAAAAAAAAAAAAGAAAATGTTTAGGTATAAACTTTAAATTAACCAAGGTAAGATAAATAGTAGAGTATTTTCTCCAAATATGCCAGATACAAATAGACTGAGCTTTGTGAATATAATTCTTACCTGATAATTGTTCTTATTGTGTATAATTTTACAATTTTATGTTAGAGTTAAAACCTTTCCTTTTTATCTAGACAAAAAGTGGGAAATGGTATGGGATATGTGTACACTGTGTGATGATGTATTGCTGAACAGTCAACAGCTAGAATATAGACTATAGGAGGTACAGGCAGGACTTCCAGGCAGACAGGAAGTAGGAGATAACAGGTACAGAGGAGACACGAAGGGAAGGAAGCAGGAGAGCTGCACACAACGTATTGTAGATTAATAGAAATGGGTTAATTTAAATGATAAGAGCTAGTTAAAAACAAGCCTAAGCTAAGGCAGGCTTTCATAATTAGCAAGTCTCCATGCCGTGTTTGTGAGTGGAGCTGACAGCCCGAAGAAAACTCTGAGTACAGTGAGACAACAGAAAGCAGGGGAAGGCCAGGGAGGTGTGCAGAGAAGCCCCCACCACAGCAGCGCCTCCAAAGGCTCTTTGTCTCTTATTCTCCTGGGGGAGATAGAGCAGGGACTCTACTGCCCTATGAACAGACCAGAGCCCGGCCAGCCAGTGTGTTTTTAGGGCAGTCCCCCATGGCCACATGATCATGAGTAGAAGGAACAGGGGATATAATACACAGAGAGGATGCTGGGAGAGATGTCACCAGTATTGGGACAAATGGCATACAGTACAAAGCAAAGAGCAGCTGGGTCAGGCAGATTCCCTATCCACAGACAAATTCTGGAGCTGAGGGATTGAGTTTTTGTTTGTGGCTGTCCCCAGAGCCTGTGCAGCTTCCAAAACATGGTCCTTCTTCCAAAGTCCCAATCCTGAAAATCAAAACAAGTTGTCTGCCTCAGGTGCTGTTCTAGGACCTGAATATTTAACATCCACAGATAAACTGCAAAAGTCCTTCTGATGAAATGGAGTGTATGCAATAACCCACACACTCCTCCACAGACTTTGCTTTATTTTGTTGTGCTGAGGATAAAAACCTAGACTCTCACTGGGGGTTTCTAGGCAGGGGCTCTACCACTGAGCCACACCCCAGCCCCTCACTGGGGGATTATAGGCAGAGGCTCTACCACTGAGCCACACCCCAGCCTTCTTATAGACTGCAAATCCCATCTATATGATTATAATACTAAGTGATTATAATGCTAATACAATGTCACTGTTATCTAGTTACATCATACTGTTTAGGGAATTAGAAAAAAATTTCAGACAATCAGTACAGACATAATTAAGAAAAATCTGTGCTTCAAATCCTAGTACTTGGGAAGTGTAGGCAGGAGGATCATATGTTTAAGACTAGAATAGATTCCAGGTGCAGTCCCTTGGGAGGCAGAGGCCGGCTGTATCACACTGGGAGCACAGAGTGCAAGCCAGAAACAGAAGGGCCCACGTTTGATCCAGGGGTGCTTTTCCCAAGTCAGAGAAGGAAGAGAGTTGTTTGGAGTCTGCACACCTATAACCCCAGCACTTTCCAGCCAGAGTGGCTTCATCAGAAGCCAGCTTGGAATAGACAGTGAAAACCTGCCTCACGACCACATGCTCAGGAGATTGCGGGGGGGGGGGGGGGGGGGGGGGGGGGGGGGGGACCAGGGAAGAAAAGAGAAAATAATAATGCGGGGGCAGAGCAGTCTCTATGCAGGCCTTGAGCTCCTACACCGAAGGATCCAGAGGAAGCCATGACAGCTGCCATGTAGCTTAAAGTCAGAGAAGTTCCTGAGCCCTGATGCTCAGGCCTCACCCCCACCAACTCTATTATCCCAGCTGTGGAACCCCAGCGGCAGTAGTAGAAGCTTCTAGAAGAGGGCCCGGCAAGCTCACATTTCTGTGGACTCGCGGAAAGCTATTTGTAAACCTTTTATTTGAGAGTCAGGGTGACACAGAGCAGTCTCTTCATGGCCCAGATGGAAGGGTCAGGCTGACCTGCCTGATGGGGTGGAAGACCCAGGAAAATGGGAGTGTGACATCCAGGATAGCTGAAAGGAACACATAAGTGGTAGGAACTATTATGGGTTACAATACTTCAGTGACCCCAGCAACACCCTCCACATCACCGGGTGGGGTCTTTACTCACTATTGGAGCCAATCCCTACTAAAAGACCCACTGTGTGCTGGGGCATAAAGTGATCAGCACAGACTTCACCCGGCTCACCCGGGGCACACAGGCAGCGGGGACAGTTAAGACGGGGTACGGCTAGGGTACATTTTCTAAGGAGGAAACGGAAGGATAGGGAGATTAAGATGTTGAGTTGCACCGTGGGTGGCGAGGCGAGTGCTCATCCGTCCCTAGTAATAGCCAATTACCCTAAATACCAACGGCTCACCAGGACCAGGCCCCGAACTGAGCCCTTGTCCCGAGTCATCTCACGCCACCTCAGCAATGACAGGCCAGGAGGGCTCGATCGCACGCCACTTCTCGACCGAGAAGTCACCCCCGAGGCCACGGCGTGCCGCTCACCCCTGAGCCAGGGTCTGGGTCCCGGGCCCACAGCTCCGCCACCATCTCGGTGTGCAGAAACTCGAACAGCACCGCGTCCGCCATGCACCGCCTCGCGCCCCACGCTCCCAGACAACGCTTCCGGCTCCCATTGGGCAGCTCAGGAGGTAGAGCCGACCTGATTGGTGCTCTGATATAGCCACGCCTCCTCCGCAGGCGCAGAGCGCGCTGAAGACGCGGAAGCGAGGGGGCGGGTGCATCTAGCCTCTTCTTGGGCCTCCCACGCTAACCTCTTCCGCCCTAACTTCGCTTCTCTTGCTGTTTCCGGGTCTTCGGACATTCCCATTGGCTGAGTTTCTGATTCAAGTGACTTTCCCAGTTTAAAAAAAAAAAATTCAAGTGTCCTACAGAATTTTCCAAAATATTAAATACGACACGAAAACGACTTGTCTAACCGCTTTCCTATTGGCCGGAGCTTGACTCATGTGACTCCACACGGAAAAACCGCCTCACTTCCGTTAGGCGGCGAATCCATCGGGTTCGGAGCTTCGAAGACCTGGTATGGCCGTCTGGGACTGTGGTGTCGGTGTCTCCCGTGAGCGTCCCCCCCGTGAGTGTCCCCGCGTGAATGTCCCCCCGTGAATGTCCCCCGCGTGAGTGTCCCCGCGTTAGTGTCCCCCCGTGAGCGTCCTTCCGTTAATGTCCCCTCGTGAGTGTCCCCCTGTGAGTGCCCCCCGTGAATGTCCCCCGCGTGAGTGTTCCCGCGAGTGTCCCCGCGTTAATGTCCCCCCGTGTTTGCCGCTGGTGTCCCCCCCCCCGCGGGACCCCCATTAGTGCCCCCAGGTTAGTGGCCACACCCCCCCCCGTCCCGTTAGTGTGTCCCATCGAGCGGTCGTGCTTTCCGCGTCCGCCCTGGCGCCTGTGTTGGCTGCAAGCTGGCCAGGAGGACAGTGGAGGATGTGGTCAGTGCTGTAGGACTCTGGGAATTCTTGGTTACAAAGCGTTTTGTAAACATTATTTTGTGTTACACTGAAACAGGGTCTCTGTGTAGTTCTGGATGACCTGGGACTATTGTAAACCAGGCTGGCCTTGAACTCACAGAGATCTACCTGCCTCTGCCTCCTGAGTGCTGGGATTAAAGGCGTTGTTATTATTTTATAGTTACTTAGTTATTGTGTGGGTGTGTGTGTGCGCGCGCGCAGAGGTAGCTGGACAACTTGACCTGCCTCAGTTCTTTTTTTTTTTTTTTTTGGATTTTTCGAGATGGTTTCTCTGTAGCTTTTGGTTCCTGTCCTGGAACTAGCTCTTGTAGACCAGGCTGGCCTTGAACTCACAGAGATCCGCCTGCCTCTGCCTCCCGAGTGCTGGGATTAAACCTGCCTCAGTTCTTGAGCCTTCCACCATGTCCATCCTGGGGGCGGGGAGGAGGGAGTCAGGCTTGGCTGCAAGCGCTTTCCCCCCTCGCTGAGCCATTTCTCAGGACCTAGTTCCGAAGCTTTGCATGGCCGGTCCTCGGTTTCCCCAGTGTACACGCGAATGATACTGAGATGCTGAATTCCAACCCATGTGTACACCAGAGGAACCTGAAGCCGAGCCGGAACTGGCTGGGAGTGGCGGTGGAGGGGCTGGTACTTCGGACCTCACAACCCGGCGCTCCTCTTCTCCAAGCTCCGCGCCATGGCATCGTCCCAGGGTCGGCGGCGGAGGCCAGGGACGGTGGTACCCGGGGAAGCGGCTGAGACCGACTCGGAGCTGTCTGCGTCCTCGTCGGAGGAGGAGGAGCTATACCTGGGTCCCTCGGGCCCGACGCGCGGCCGCCCCACGGGGCTCCGCGTGGTCGGAGAGGCAGCGGAGACCGACTCGGAACCGGAGCCTGAGCCCACGGAGGCGCCGGGAGACCTACCCCCACTCGTGGTGCAGCGCGAGGCGGAGGAGACCTGGGGCACGGAAGAGACCCCGGCCGTGGCGCCTGCGCGCTCGCTCCTGCAGCTCCGGCTGGCGGAAAGCCAGACGCGTCTGGACCACGACGTGGCGGCCGCGGTGAGCGGCGTGTACCGCCGTGCGGGCCGCGATGTGGCCGCCCTGGCCGGGAGGCTGGCAGCTGCTCAGGCCACGGGATTGGCGGCCGCCCACAGCGTGCGCCTGGCTCGCGGGGACCTCTGTGCGCTTGCCGAGCGCCTGGACATCGTAGCTGGCTGTCGCCTGCTGCCGGACATACGAGGGGTACCAGGCATCGAGCCCGAGCAAGACCCAGGACCGAGAGCTTAGGCTGACTCGCTGTTATCCCCCTCCCGCACACACACCTGACTGTCATTGATTTGTCCCGATTTTATTTATTCTTAGCACAATTCTGGGATCCCCACCCCCAAAACTGGGTCCAGGTTTTGTGGACATCAACTCTGGTGTATTTCCTAAATCAAGCTTTACTCGTGGGCTTTGATTTCTTTTGTGTTACTTCCCTGGGTCCAGGCTTGCGGGGAACGGGCTCTCTCTAGTTTACATGCCCAAATGGTGGCCACTCCTGACCCAAGGAGACCTTTCTACACACCCCACAGACCCCTGCAGGACCCAAGCTGGGCCTAGGTAGTAACCCTTAACCCTCTTCTGACACCCATCAGGCCCTTTGGTCTGGCGCAGCGCCCCCAGGTGTTTTGACTGCTATATGACATGACTCCACACAGTAAAAACCTACCACTCACTGTGTTGGTTTCTGGATGCTAAAGGGACATGGGTTGCTGACCTCGCTGGGCACTGAGGACAACAGTTTCGTTTTTCTTCTTTGGGTCCTGACTTTACTCTCTTGGCTCTATTTACATTCTCTCCCTTTGTCTTATTGCCTGGTCCTCCTAAGATGGGGAGGTGGGAGAGAAATTCTCTGACTGACGAGGCATTTCCCCATGAAGTCACTTCCGCTGTCTCCCTTTTGACCAAGGGTGAGTGGGATGGTGATTTCTCCAGAGAAGGGTCTCAGAGGCACCTGCCTGGCCTGTTTAAGGTGAAGCTGGGGCCAGGAGAGCTCTTGGAGCAGACCTCGGTGGCAGCTCACAGCCAGCTGCAGCTTCTGCTCCAGTTTATCCAAGCTGCCTTCCCGCCTGCACTTGGTGCACACGCGCACACACATACATACACAAAGAAAAACCTCACGGTAAAGCTCTTAGAAGATCAGAGCCAGAAATGGAGAGATGGCTCAGTGGTTGAGAACACTGATTTCTCTTTCAGAGGATTGGGCTTCAATTCCCAGCACCCACATGGCAGCTCACAATCGTCTATAACTCCATTTCCAGGGGATCTGGCACCCTTCTAGAGGCAAACATGCAGGCAAAACACTAATTACTTAATATTTTAAAAAACAAGATAGAAAAGAAAATCGGGGCCCTTCATTTTTGTCTTGATAATATATTAAATTAATCTACTTCTTTTAGGGGTGCCTGTGTTAGAGTACAATATAGCAGTCCCTGTCCAGTAGGAGAGACATTAATAAAATTGTCTATAAGTAGGTTTCAGGGATTGGTTTATTTTTATTTTATTTTCGGCACTGTGAGTAGAATCATAAAGAATGTCATGCACTTTGGGGAGGTGTGAGCTCCAGGTGGCCTGGTCTTGGAAGAGGGTGATCATGGCCTCCCCAGGAAAGTGAGGTGATGATCCCAGAGGTAGGTGAAATGGGGTGGCCCCAGAACAGCACATGCAAAGGTCCTGGACCACAAGACAGCATGATCTCCTTAGCTTTGTATTGCTCTGACAAACTTTCCCTAAAAGCTGGCTTCTGAAGAGGACAGGTTATGGGCTGGGGAGATGGCACATAGGGTAAGGTGATTACCACAAGCCAATGATGAGATTGAACCTAAGAACCCATAGTGGGAGGGAGCCAGCCTCCGAAACGTGCCCTCTGACTCCACACACATGCTGTGACACGTGTGTCTAAACCCATGCATTGCACATACACAAATACGTTTTTCAAAGGAAAATTTACTTATTTATTAAAAAAACAATTCTGTTTGTTTGTTTTTTAATTTTTCAAGACAGGGTTTCTCCGTAGCTTGTAGACCAGACTACCCTTGAACTCGCAGAGATCCGCCTGCCTCTGCCTCCAGAGTACTGGGATTAATGGTGTGTGCCACCACCACACAGCTGTATTTATCTTTAGTTGTGTGTGTGTGTATCCAGGTGAAGGGTAATGGTGCTGTGGAAACCAGAAGAGGCATCAGATTCCCTAAAACTGGAGTCATGGGGTTTGTGTGTTGCCGTGTGGGTGCCGAGTCCTCTGCTACAGCAGCGGGTGCTCCTAGCCCCTGAGCCATCTTGCTAGCCTTGGCTATTCATTCTTACCATCCTCTTTAACACAACTTGGAGTTCTTTGCTGTGGCAGTAAGACATGAGAAAGAAATACGCGGAGCAATCAGTGTACAGATTTTGGGTAGTAGGTCAGTTCTACCGTCATCACCACCATCTCTCACGTTCACTTCCCCCACCATGACACCATGTCTGCTCAAAGCCCCCCCTCCCACGACCTCACTCGGTAAATGTGATCTCTCTGTGCCATTCCCCCCAACACAATCACACACCTGGTATACCAAAGTGTGTATTCCCCCCCCCCCCCCCCCCCCCCCCCCCCCCCCCCCCCCCCAGCAAGCAGTGCTCCTGACCTCACCCCCCAACTCAGTCTTTACCCTGGAGATCTCTGTTCTCAATTACCTGTGGGACTTTGTTCCTCACCTCTGGTCTTTTCTCCATCTTTGCTTGCTTGTTTGTTTTTGTTTCTCAAGACAGAGTTTCTCTGTGTAGGCACGGCTGTCCTGGAATTCACTCTCGAACCAGGCTGGTCTTGAACTCAGAGATCAGCCTGCCTCTTAAGTGTGAGCGCTGGGATTAAAGGCGTCCGCCCGCCACCAGGCAGTAACACCTGTGTCTTAATGAGGAGTCTCTGACCTTATGTGGAAGGAAACTTGGGGGATGGGATGAGACTGTAGTTCAGTGGTATTGTGTATGCTTAGAGTCTGGACAGCCCTGGGTTCAACTCCTAGTACCACTCCACTCCAAAAAAAAGGAAAAAAAAGCATCCATTTAGCACACGCCTTTAATCCCAGCACTCAGGAGGCAGAGGCAGGTGAATCTCTGTGAGTTAGAGGCCAACTTGGTCTACAGAGTGAGTTCCAGAAAATCCAGAGAAACAGAGAAACCCTGTCTCGAAAAGCACTCCCCAAAAAAGAAAGAGGAAGGAAGGGAGGAAGAGAGGGAGGGAGAGAGGAAGACAGCCACAGCTGGGCTTCTTAACCTTTGGCTTCCCCCACAGAAGGAGGGGTGGGGAGGGCATGAGACCCTCACCTGAGTGTCCAGCCACTCCTCCCATGCAGCTGTTTGCAGCTCTGCCCTAACTACCTATGTGAGGGAGGGCAGAAGCCTGCAGGCTGGGAAGAACTAGGGAGGGGCTCCACCCTCATAGCCACCGGGAAGCCATCATCCCCCTGTGTGCAGACCTTCCTGTGGGGCGGCTCCTGCACATAACCCCTCACCCTCGCTTTGTAACTAAGTCTAATAAACTCTCTGGTTCCTATAAGCGGAGACTTTTTCATTTCCTGGTCACCCAGACCCAAATAATCACACAAAAACTGTATTAATTACAAAGCTGTTTGATCAACAGCTCAGGTGTATTCGTAGCTAGCTCTTATATCTTAAATTAACCCATTTCTATAAATCTGTGTATCACCATGAGGCTGTGGTTTACCAGAAAGATTCTGGAGTCTCTCTCCTTTGGTAGCTACATGGTGTCTCCCTGGCACCACCTTCTTTCCTCCTCTATCTCTGCTTGGATTTCCTGCCTGGCTATATTCTGCCCTGCCATAGGCCAAAGTAGCTTCTCTATTAACCAATAATAATAAAACATATACACAGCACACAGAGGGGAATCCCATATCATCTTCCCCTTTCTGTCTAAATAAAAAGCAAGGTTTTAGCTTTAACATAGTAAAATTACATATAACAAAACAGGTATCAAGCAAGAATTACAGTTATAATATTTCTTTGTAAATCTAAAGTTTTATATCTATCTTTTATTATAACTAAAGAAACTATAACTACCTATCTTTAACTCCATCAAAGACCTTAGAAGGATATAATATTACCTAAGTAAACAGGAAGAACATTGTAAGCAACTTCCAAAACTCTAGAATTGACAGGGATATCTTACTGCCTGAACAGTCACCCAAAGTTCTTCTGTAACATTGAGGCATACATCTTCAGCCTATAGGCCCATAGTATTCAGCAGACTTTTCCATGAAACAAGAAATTTGAAAGACTCTCTCGCCTGTATTGGCAGTTTGTCAGTCACTTTCTTCTTATCCTGCAGAAGGTCTGGCAGTTTCTTCCGTGAACCAGGAACCCTAAAGGACGATCCCGTCTTTTGGCAAGTTCAGCAGTCACTTTTCTGTGGGTCCTGCATGTCCAGTTCACACAGCATACCATCAAGCACTCCAGGCAAGAGCAGTTTCTTGCCCAAATGTCTAGCCTTGTCACATTGAAGGAAAATTCCATAACAAGTTTCCTTGATGCCCATCAACCTCTCTGAAGTAACTGATGCTGCCAGAAGCAGACTTGTCTCACTGTCGAGAAAAGTCTAAATTCTTAAAACTTTTTAAATGCCATATTCTGTAGGTCTTTGAAGATTAACTAACTGAATTATATCTTTGCATATCTAGAAAACCTAACTAACATGACTACAAGTTTGACTATTATAAATTACTATCTATTAACCTGAATTTTAAATTATACATTATGTTTTTAAATGAACTGTATAAACATAATACCTTAAACAAGGGTAGAAATATACATATGACAAAATTGATCTTAAATTTGTATCAATAAACCAAAGTCCATACCAATGTAATAGGTTCCCCTGGGTAAACTTTGGTGGAATGGTGTTTCAGTTTGTCCCTTGGGCTCTGGGGGCGGGGTGGACATTGTGTAGTCTCCCCAGGGAAGGAATCTGAGCATGGGGTTGATGTAGGCATGCCATCCTCAGTCTGCATGTTAGTGATGTTATTATCAGTTGTTACTACTATTCTTGAGACAGTCTCTCACCAAGCCTGGAGCCCAGGGTTTTAGCTGGACTAGGTGGACTGGGAGCCCTGGGGATCCCCTCTCCCTAAACCTGGACAAGGCTGGAGGGCAGTCAGCCCCTTGGTCCTCCTGGCTCTGTGCCCCACAGAGCTTTGGCTATCAGAGCATGCAGCCATGCCTGGCCATCTTTGTTTTTTGAGATGGTCTCTCACTGAACCTGGAGCTTGCTGTTTAGTTAGACCAACTAGTCATGAGGTCCCTGGGGTTTTTCTGTTTCTGTCCCCAGCACCAGGGTTACAGGCATGCATTGCTACACCCAGACTTACCTGGGTGCTGGGGACCTGAACTCAGGTCTACATGCTGAGGCATCTTTCCAGTCCACTTACTAAAGGAATCTTTTTCCTTTTTTTTTTCTTTTCGAGACAGGGTTTCTCTGTGTGTAACAGCCCTGGTTATCCTGGAACTCGCTCTGTAGACCAGGCTGGCCTTGAACTCACAGAGATTTGCCTGCCTCTGCTTCCAAATGCTAGGATTAAAGACATGCACGATCACCGCCTGGTTTATTAAAGGAATTTTAATATAGACTTTAACATGATGGTGAGAGAAAAAGCCATGCAGGACATGCACGTGGGTCCTCTGCGACCT